TGCAGATTTTTATCAAGTTCCGATGCGACGGTATTATTCTTTTGTCAGCTTGGACGCTTTTCCTGCTAAATAGCAGCCTTCTAACATTGGCGAAGACACTACGATGGCGCGATGACATTTCCGAATGAAGTATCCACACTGTACGATCATTCAGCAGTTTGGACATCATGTGCCTCTCTAATCCAGCGTAACGTTTGTGTCTATGACTAGCTTTTAAAATACGTGCTAGCATGTGGCCAAACGCCTAAACGTGCCACTCTGCGTCGAGTTCAGGCACCAAGAACAAGGTAATATTAACTACTTTATCGCTACGCCAACTACCGGAAGTATGTCATCATACAGGAAATAAACCAGTGGCATGGTCGAATGAAATTTATCATGTTACCGAGCTTCTACGAGACGGGACATCTGTTCCACTCTCGTTTCCCATTTTAGTCGCAGTCAAGAAATTTGTACACGAATTACCGTTTCTATTAGGGAAACTCAACGGCATTCAAACGCTTGTCGACGTCCGAGAGATGAATTTACAATGAATTTCGCATAATCGATAAAAACACTGCCCTGAAGAGATATGGAGTATTAGAGCTCTAATAAAATAACAAACCTTTTATCTTGATTTTTTACCTAATTTATTCGCTCTCGCGGGTTACAAATGCTAAAGTACCTTGACGCGTTGACGCGGGTTTGTCATCGGGCAAAAATATTTTCTCGTACTAACGAATTTACACACGTATACGTTGCTAACAAAACTGTGAGACACGATGCAGGATCTTGTTGGCATAGCGTTCTCTGCAACGTTCTCAAACTAACTATCGGCCTGTGACTATTAAGGCTTTGCGGTCGCTAAAAATGCATTTTAGGGTTTTGGTAGACCTTGCTTGTATATGTTTTGTAAAAAACGGAGATAAACCAGTTTGCCTCGACGCAACAATCTCATAACCTCAATTATGCGTTTTGTGCATATGCATTTTTCTTTGAATATGTGTGTTAACATGCTTAAGATGAAAGTCAAAGTATGGGTGCACACTGTACTTTTCTGTGCGACGGTAATACATTTTGCTATTCAAAATCTCGAATATTGATATAGTCTTGATTGTAAAAAAAAAATAATAAGGTATTTCTGAAAGTCGACCCTAATAGGTTCATGAAGTAGATTCTGATATGTTTTTATGGCAGTGCAGTCATCTACAGGTTCTGCGTTTCCGCCTAAAAACCTACGCGTGACGTGGTTGGGTTCAAAAGTGAGTGTACACACACTTTGTTTCGGGTTAGGCATTAGCCGCGGCATCTGGCGTAAAAATCAGAATGTGTTTGTCTATGCATTAGCGAAACTAAGTCTAATTGTCAGATTGAGCATTCTATACTGCCATTTACGTAATCCTATCGACTAGATGCTACTATATTATTCTAAATTAGCCTTCCGGAACGTGAAAATGAACATATGTTTACCATGATTATTACTATCCAGATGGATCGTAATACTCAAGTATTTAGTGGAATCAACGGTTCAATAGTTATGATTAAAGTAGTATATGAGACAGTTACGGCAACGGTATGTTCCTCTACACTGCCGAAGTTAAAAACTTATTTACAACTACAGATAATGCTCAGGCCATTTTAGCTCTTACCTGGCATACGTATTCTACCCATAGAGAGAAGATCTGGCACGGACGACACCCGCACCCAGCGGTTTCGTTCATTGCAATAGAGAAACTTAGAGAAGCCACAGTTGCACGGTCCATTACGGCTAAAAATGCATGAGCAACGACAGGGTAATTATATATAATCTATCTATACATAAAATTAGCAACGTCCTTTATAATAGAACATTTCAGCAAATTCTCCTTTACTCGTTATTTGCATTTTATAGGATGCTGTAATCAAAGGACCCCACCTATTACCCACTTAAGTATTCAAGGCGAACAGTGATGCCTTCGCTTTGTTCTTACCAGCAACGCAAATTCAATTACTGTTGTTAAATTACACCGAATGCGACCATTTTGCTTCCTACCCCCCATTCATTGACTACATGATAAACAGTATTTTGGTAGATATTTGTAAGCCACGTACACTTCGCTACCATCATCTCGCAAACGACATTCACGACACCGAGCGCGTACCCGAACGTTCCGTACCTACTGAAATGTAAACGTTTCAGAAGAATTAACAAAAGGCGACTTCACGCTTCTTGGACATAAGAACGACGAACGCCGATGCGGATGGATACGCTCCATAACCGTTTACTGTTTCACAGTTTCATTGCGCTCAGCTTGTGTAGATGCGTCAAATGCGGCGATGCTTCTTTTCGCTCTGGAGTTCTCTTACTTTTTTCGACTTGGGTCGTAGCACTTCGGTGGTGGTCCTTCTGTCACGTTAGAGATGCGAGCAAAATATTTCGCCGCCGACGCGTTATCGTTGCCTCGTAATATATATGAGATGTAATAAGCGACAATTCTGTGAGTACATCACGGTTAAATAATGCTCTTGTAAGCATAACCGGGACATCCTTATCGCTTTGTTGTTTGCTTGGCTAACGCTGCACATGTTCGTGTATTGTACTGCCCATCGGATTGCCTCCGTTTTGTCTCGTAACTAAAGGTGCTCGCGGAAAATCCCGTCGCTTCCAGCTACGGATTGGCGATCTTTTCTGCCAACTAAATTGGAACGTTTTTTGTGTGCTGCATATGTAAAACATTTGTATCAACAATCCCATAAGAGATAGAAACAATATTATCACGGTAACTGCTTCCAATTTGAATCATCGAATTAAAACATTGTAAACGTCACATCCGGGCTCGCATTTGGCATCAATATATCAGATATGAGAGCCGTTAGCTTGTTCCTGTTACAAAGCCAACTTTGGGAGGTAGCCACTGAAATTTGACTTAGTTTTCAATGTTTTTAAAGTCGGTTGAGGATAGGCTTATTTGGATAAACGTGTCATAAAGTTTTCGTCCGCTCTTTCAGGGAAAAGCATTCGCCAGCGTGACTTAATCCAAATTCCACCCACTTATAATACGCGACTAATAGCTATGGGACATAATATTATAGCAATGTCACGGTTACGTTTTAATTCCATGATAAAAACACAAATCATTTGCATAGTCGTTTGGTTACTAGCCATCGAGTGTAACGAGCAAATATGAAAAAACAGGTGAACGTTATTGGTCATCTGTAGATGTGCCTCAAATTTGCCTGTCTGTCATTCGGTCAAATATGCTGTGCTTAGAAAAAGTCGAAGAAAAAACGTCCTCTGATATTAATACACACCGGCACACCCGCACCTGGCATTAATAGGAATTTGCAGAAGTCTCTACATTCATCGTGTTCTTTTATTGTGCAATAATTTATAATTCCATATATATATATATGACACACTCAATAAGACACGTGTAAACGCTCATATCCGGTACATATGTGGGAACCTATTTTTTGTTTAGAAGCTGTACATGAAGGTTTTTAAAAAGGCCGTTTACCCGGAAGACAATGCTCAGTTCATTCGACACAAAAACATAAAAAGAATGATACACAAAACACACAAAGCCCTAGCACTGGTGATAATAGCATCGCATAAGCATTTCAATAAGACATTTCGATAATAATGGTAGTAAAACTTTTATACAGGTATATCAAGTATAGGACACTCTTGCGGGATATTTATATGACCTCCGCATATCTATTTACTTTCAGTATCATAATGTTTGTTAAATATAGTTCATTATATACAGAAAGACATATATAAAAAATTGACCAAAAGCAACGACGTCGCACTTTTGACTAACTGGTTAAAATAACAAAGACACTTTCATTTGCGAAACAAAAAATCTACGCGATACGTCTAAGCGATAAGCTTGCGTCTCATGCAGTGCTGATGATTTCAACTGTAACGTGCTTTTCCTTATTAAGATCTAGTTATCCTACTGACTCTGCTTTTTTTCATTTTAAGAATATATATATAGTATGATATAATAAATTGGAATCTCATTATTGGTGTTCCTATAAGGTGGAATATTATGCAGCGCGACGATCGGAAAAGATGTGGCTGACTTAGACTGTAGCTGGATATAAATTTTCCTTTGTCTGTAACATATCACAGTACGTGCTATTGTTTTCCAAGACTAAATCGTCTAAATGAAAAATACGACGATCAATGAAATAAAATCTGCTTCAATTTATACTTTAGATAAAGCACTAACGAAAAATACTATGTCGTATTTTAACGTTTGCTGAACAATATACAAGGAATCTATTTTGAGTTATACGCATTTCCTCACTCGCTTCAGTATCGTCGACGGCCTGACAATGTCTCTCACAGTTAGCAACGTATAGACGTATATATATATATATATATATATACTGAAATTAGCCTTAAAAACTCCAAACGTAGGCAAACTCAGGCATAGAAAAGGGCTCGTCTCAAACATATAATTGTTATCACTCGCGGAAATTGAAATGACAAGATTTGTAGGCCTAGAACATGCGGCTCAGTTGACTACACTATGCACCATCCTCTCGCTTCAGAGCGACGGGTTAGGGAATTAATAAAGAGCTAAGGCGAAATAACACGTGCTAATCATAGTATTAAGCCAACTAATATGTTTTGTTATTTATTTCGCTCGTTAGGATTTTTTGTTTGTTATGTTTGTTATAGATATTATAAATGTAAGTGTTATCCTGTTTGTTATAAATGTAAGTGAATATCCTGCATAGTACTGCAATAATACATGAAAAATTCCTGCACGGTTCCGATTTTATACTTTGTGTCTTTTCAGTACTGCATGTGTGTGAAAAGAAAAATGTACAATGAAACCTTAAAAACAAAAATACCAAACATGTTGTGATATGTCAAATGTTCAACAAGGTACAAGCATCTAGAACGCCGAGTGATTTACTATAATGGTGCATAATTAACATTCTATAGTTAACAAAAAAAAAAGACTCGTTGTGTATTTTTGAGTAAGAAACGAGTCAAAACAAAGATTACTATTTGATGAAAACATTAGACTGTATAAACATTTTAGGTGCATAGCTTTATTGACAATGTAAAAAAAGTTCACATTTGCTCTTTGATACAGTGGAAATTAATGCTTTTTTCTAGTACTCCAAACTGGATACCCTGAAGGTTCCATTTTCCCCACATAATGGGGTAGAATGTTTATTTGACTACGTTATTGTTGGGAAGACCAATCTATATTCAATTTCAATGTAAGTGCAGTCGATCTTCATTGCACCATTGTTTACCACCATTGCATCATATTGCATCATTGTAATAAAATCATTTATGAAAGAACTGGAAAAAATACCATATTTGCAGTAACATTTTGTTGCGATAATGATGTGGCGCTACTCATAGTCAGGCTATTACCTACGGCTGTTGTCGACCATAGTGGTTCTTTTTTATATATCAATCTCATGGCCACATTTCATTGTCTCTATCGTGATCTACATTTTGTTAATTCCACTTTCACTAAGAAACTAAGTGCACCCCGAACGTAGTGCAAATAGTGTGAAGTTCTATATGTGCATAACATGGATATAAGTACTCACTATGAAAAGCTGTCAAATGAAGAAGTCTGCGATTTATATCTCCTTGCTCTATCTACACCCGATTTCAAGCCTCGCTCACCATTGCCATTATTAATTACTGAATGGAATTCAATCACACTAATGTTAGATTTACATATTTTATTATCTTAGCAGAAAGACATATGTGGAATGTCGTTTCAAAATCTATGGCATCGATTCTTTCAGCAAACGTTGCAAATGTTGATTTCGGAGAAAGGTCTTATCAATCTGTAAGTAAATAATGCCAAGAAAAACTGAGTTACGGGGTTGTTACAGATTTTCCATATGTAGAAACGCCACCGTTTGTCAACTGCTGTTATGGTATTCGTATGAGTTGGTTACTTTCACATTGCAAAATTACGTGTCATCAAAAACGTCGAGAAAACATTTTCAACAGTGTAAACACAAATTAATTCAAGCAGCTGGAACTCCTGCAGCATCTTAACTGGCTGATTCGGATTATCAGCTGGTCTTAAGATAATGTCCCCTCAAAATTTATTTTGAAATTTTTTGCCAAATCAGTTTTATATATAAGCTTATCCTTTTATATACGAAACCCTAGTATAGATTTCTTTTCGGCTAATTTCAATGCCTAGTAATGTTTGCTTCGTTTGTTTTGACTGAAATTTTAGGGAATATGTAATAAAATCTGCCTTGTGGTATGTTCGCAAATCACATACAAACCTTGCCCATTACGTTACGAGGCAGCTCCACGACAAAGGTAATTTCACTAGGAATAGACGTCGGGGGGAGTGTTTTTTTACAGTGCATTTGTATTTCACTTTTGAGATCAGTACAATTACACTGCTTTTTCGGCACCACCTGATAACGTTTAAGTCACAGAATAAATAGACAAAGCTGTTACAGTCGATAAAGAAACAGCATGAGATGAATATGTTAATTTTGACAATATCATTATCCACCTGTAATGACATATTAGTATACATATGAATGGCATAGACGAGAAGCGTCATCTAACATTCATTCAAAGCTATTAGAACTGTTTAACTAACCACTGCAACAACTCGTTCTCCCCATGTCACGTCTGGGACGCCAAAAACGGCGCTTTCAGCGACCCCTGGCACTGCTTCCAGTTCGTTCTGTACCTCCAGCGCAGAGACCTGCAACCGACAACAATGGAAAAGTCCAAAGATACTTTTTCGAATTCTATGACTAAAAACTCTACTTAGATTCCATAGTTTTTACAAGTTCTGGTTATTACAATTAGGCATTAATAAAGAGCGCTAAATATGCTTTATGCATTGTTAGCTTTAAAGAACCGCAGCACGGCTTAAATTTTGCGATCAAATTTGTTTGGTACTGCATCCATAGTCTTTCTATGAAGTGGAGGTTCAAATTTAGAAGAACTACTTTTATTTTTTTCCGAGCTTTTTTTCGGTTGTCTATTGAACAATACGAAAATTTTGGTTCACTACTCTTCCGTCAACTAGGCACTATTTGTTGCGGCTCAAGAAGAGTGTATAAATGAAAAACGTGAAATAAAAGTATAAATAAAAAAAATGTATAAATGACGAATATATTGACCTTGTAGCCGCCGCACTTGATGAAGTCCATTTTTTTTCGGCCTAGTATTTTAACCAAGTTCCTGCGATCGTCGCAAATGACAAGCTCCGCCATATCACCTGTAATGTGAAAAACTCACACTTAAATATCATTACACATTTTTAACAACGTTTTTTTTAAATGATTTGTTTTGACTAAACTTTCTTACATGCCCTAAAATCTTAACTTACCAATATCCTTGAGATGAGCAATAATGTTTGTGACACGGCGGAGACCCATTTTGAAATATTACGAGTAGGGTATGTAATAGTATTCACTCAATACGCCTGGGTGGCGAGATTTCACGTTTTACAAGGTGACCATATTTAAGACTGTTAAAATTTAAGATACCTGATTGAGCTCCGCATTTAGAATCGGGAAGACTAAAGGCCGTAGTGGTCAGAAAATTTTGGACGGTGATCAAGACATTTTAAACAGAATAGGGTAAGGATGACAATCTGTTGGTTTATACACTAACCAGTACTCCTTATCTAATCGTTGTACACTCTATCCGATTCGCTCGGTAGGTGAAATTTTTATTGACAGAGAAGTTTTTCAAGCGATTAAACTATAGCAGAATAGATACCAGTTTGAAACCAGCCATCCTTTGTGAACGCATCTTTGGTTTCTTTAGGCCGCTCGTGGTAGTGACTGAACATTTGTGGACCTTTCGCATGTAATTCGCCAATGATACGATTTCGCGACATCGTTTTGATTGTGGTGGAGTGTTTTGTCTATAAAACGTTACAAGAATTACATAAATGCAATTTAGGATATGAATACTATACGTGTTACGTATGTTGCTCACTCGTTGGCTTACGTTAAAATGAAGAGTTTTCAACTTAGGTCAAATATCACTTAGAAAATTTAAGTGATGACTGTATTAGTTTTGATAAACACCCTTTGAGATGCGATGTTGACATTTAAGCAAGCATAATAAAATAATAGTTATCTAAATCGTTTGGGAACTATTCCGACCTAACTTACAAGCAATAAGCAACAAGGTTACCCAATGCATACCATATGAGCGAGTGTTTTAAAACGATTCGATGAGTAGCCGTCTTGTTCTGCGATACGAAATTCGAGTCCGACAAACGGCCTGCCAACAGTGCCGGGATAGCGCATTTTTGGATTTACCGCGTCTCCGCCAACCCCCATGCCAAATTCAGTCATTCCGTACCGTTCAAGAATCACGTGACCTGTAAGTTCTTCCCAGTCCCGAAACAACTGGAGGCTAAGAGGAGCCGACCCGCAAGTGCAAAGACGTAGTTTCAGCTTAAGAAAATCACGAATCTCTTCGCGTCGTTCCCAAAGTTGCTCTTTAGCAAATAACACAAGCTGGGCGTACATTGTTGGCACGGCCAGCATAAAATTTACTCGATTGTCCTCCGACAGCAATACTTCCCACACCTATGCAGCAGGAGAAGGAAAAACAGCAACAACGTACGTATTTAATAAGAAAACATGTATTTTTTCGTTGATCCGAAAAACAGCAAATTTTAATAAAAAGAGCCGTCTTAATAATAGGGAAGAAGCATTTTTTCCTACGAATTATTGTTATTATTACTGGGAAAATATACGAAATCATGTTTACCTGAACAGAATATCGAGCTTCTCTTCCTCCATCGTAGATACTACGAAATACATTCAAACGGAAGCGCAGAAAAATAACTAAAAACAATCTATAAACTGAGCAGTTTGTGTACAACAGCTGGGTTAGCGATGCGTTATATTATTTACAATGCACTCACATCTGCTTCGAGTAGACTACAAGCTTGCCGCTAAAGAGTCGCTCGCATTGCAGAGTTCAAGCGTCAATCGGTTGCTAAAGCTGATCGTGAAAAAAACCAGCTGAATCACACCTAACACTAGTACCCGGGTGTTTGAAGATTATCCTATTCGTCCGATGATTAATTTTATCAAAAGAAATTAACATTTTTCATGGTAGTGTTTACCAGCGTCCATTTTCATGCGATGTCAGACCTTTTTTGGGTCAAAACTCTGCAGCAAATATATACCGCTTCCGGCCCAAAGCGGCGACAGTAACCCGTTTAGAATGCCATGGGTGTGATGAAGTGGTAGATGATTAAGAAGATAGTCTTCGGGACCTAGGAACCAGTCAAGCGCGACCGAGCTCGCCTGTAATGTCCAGCCACGAGGAATGTAGCTAATTAGCTTCTGTGCAATTCTCGTATTTGTCCATCAGATAGAGAAGATTAAATTCAGCATGCTGATCATTAGAATTTAGACATAATTCGGTTGTTGTAGCTACATTCAATGGCCTAGGAAAACATAATCAAAATGCTTTAAAGCTGTTTGATACGTTTAAAAAAATTCGCGTCTTGTCTGATTTGTCATCGACTGGCTTAACAGAACGGTTATGCATGTATATATTAAATGGTCGATGAATGCCAATACATCAACTACTACTGATAATAATTTATTTTACTAACAAATTTGTAAATCCAAGTCTGCATCAATCTACATTTATTGTAACTAAAAAATACCGATCTCACAAATGCAACTTACCTGCGCGTCAAGTGCAGCGTGTGTTGTTACGACGCCTTTAGGCGGTCCTGTCGTACCTGATGTGTACACCATTTGCGCTGGGCGCTTCTTATAAAGTTGGAAATGGTCCCGAATTTGAACTAATGTATGCTGAAATATAAATGAGAATGGGAATACAACAACGCATCAATAAGAAGCCATTATTTCATGATTGACAGTTTTGTGGACTTAATTGCATTTTTCGTTTCGCAAGGAACAGTATCCATTATTCAGATACGAGGAGCCGACTGAGTCCTTGATTATCCTTAACAAGTAGGACACCAAGGTAGTGTATGGAAGTAGGGTTTACAGTTTTTTCTAGAATGTATTCACTACACATACATTCAGATACGTCTTATATTTGCAAGAAAAGGACTACTTTTCTTCTATAAGAGAGAGAGAGAGAAAGAGAGAGAGAGAGAGAGAGAGAAAGTAAAGCCCCAGAAATATGGCAAGCATCGCAGTACGTAGACATTACAAATTCACTAAATGGACTGCTTTAAAACGGATTGTACTTAAAATACGTTATAACCAAAGGTTCTAACTGTTATTAACGATATCAAATAAAATTATAATGCACACATTCAGGTTAGTTAGTGAAATAGCAAATTAAGACAAACAAAGTTTCGGTAACTATGATCACCTTGGCTATACTTGCTGGTTCAGGAAGTCCGTCGATGTCGTCGGCATTTAGCGAAACTACCCGAATGGACCGCATAAGATCTTTGTCGATGGTGTCAATCACGGAGCTCAGCTCGTTCGTTGTAATAAGGACCGAACTACCACTATCTTGTAAAAGATATTCAATCATCTTAGGTGGAAGTCGTTGGTGTAGAGGAACCACGCATGCACCGCTTAGCCAAGTTGCCCACTGGCTCATTATATAACTGGAATAATAAAAATAACGACAATAACGTTATATGCATTAGCAAAGCAGTGGCCAGTAAACACAACTTTACTTGTTCTTGTTAAACAAACCATGCGTTGAAAAGACAAAATGAGCGTTTGGTCAACTCCAGACTCAAGCAAAAAGTTGCTTGATGTAGAATAGACTAAATAAAATTTGTATTTTTTTTACCAAATCGATATACAATCACTTGCTCATCCTCAAACAGCGTTTAAATTAAAGGTCAATATGCGCCTCACGACCGACAACTGTAAGAGGTACATCTTGGTTCGTTGATATGAAGTGTTTCAGCTGTACACTTGCCGATAATCATTTGGTAACAATAGCGCTATCTGTGTCTGTGTAGCAGCGTTGTCTAGGACCGGTTGAAGGCGATCGCTGAATTTTAGAGACTGAGTTAACAAATCTGTGGAAGATCGAACACCTAGATTACATGTGATGGTGGAAGTTGGAACGGATTCCTTTTTGTCCTGAAACGTAATAAAGAAAAATTGACATGTTTAGACAAAGCGTCTTTCAAGAAAGCCTTCAGAGATCTTAAAATAACCTACGTGATAAAGTAAACTTTAGAATTCAAGTTTGTTGGCTTCGAATTAAGAAGAAACCCCTCCCTGCCACACTGTCTTTTTTCGTATTGCAAACTTTCGAATATCCATTATTGAATTACGGTATGAACTGAATATGTAGCGAAAAAGCGTTATCGTTGCGTATGTATAGTTAAAAGATGAAAAAACTGAATACCTCGAAAAGTTTAGACGCAATCCGAACAACCAGTGGTTGATAAGCTACAGGAAATCCTTCATGGCAACTCACTGACCGCTTTTCCCCTTGGGGTTTTGTAACAATGTTTTGTGAGTGAGAACAGGATGCAAGTCCATGCCGTCTGCAAGATATACAAAAGTATGTTTTTCCATTTATTAATCTTTTAAAATGCATCACGCTTAAGCATCATAAACTTAGCATTGTCAACTAACCAAAAAGAAACGCTTATTGGTGAACAAAAGAATCCTACTTGTAGTGTCTAATTATACATTGCCAATAATATCTTTTATCTAAATGACTACTAATTCCGATACTTATTTGTTACAGCGCGTCGAGAGTATGACTGAATAGACAATACTTTATCATCAGCACTATACGGATATTTGTCGCATGCACCTGCGACCATGATACGCACGCAAGTACATGCTGGCTAGCATCAGCTATTTTCTTTTTATCGACATGGCAAAATCTTCCCCAATCATATGGGCAACGACAGCTGTTCGCGCTATGTTTACAACTGGGTCGCTCATTCAATAAATAAAGCAAAAATTTTCAGCTGCTAATGAAAAAAAAAAAAGGAGATCGAACTGATAACAACTTAAACAGTTTACATCAGCGCTGTGCGATATGGACAAGAATGAAAAGAAAGAAAATATGTATGAATTTGCCTATTGTTTTGTGTCGTTTGTTGTGCATCGGTTACATGTTCATCAGTGACCATACATCGGCAAACAAAAACCACTCACGATAAAAGTCGCATAGACGGGCCCCGTCCAAGAGGATAGACAAACATCGTTGTCACAAAATGAGGGTTAACCGTTGTCTTGGCCAGTTATAGCAGAATATGCCTTCGTTAATTAATAATCATTAGAAAATGTTTCATTGCATTCTAATTTCAAACACGCACGATTCGAACACATCGTATGACCGACTTCAATCGAACCTTTAGACATTCATGTTTACCCAGTTGTCTGCTTTGAATAAGTGCGCCAAACAATCGTTAGTGTGTATAGAAGCTTCGTTGGTGTCCCATACGGCTGTCCAGAGGCGTCAACTTTTCTGCCATTAATAGAATAGCCGCAGGAATAAAAATTGTAATTGAAAAGAAAATGGAAACCCATTAGATAGAAGCATTCAAAGCCTTCCAGTGCCTTCGTACTCACATGGAAAATAATCTCCTACTCTTCCAGCAGTATTGTCATAAGACAAACTGAGAATTGCATCAATCGAAAGTATAATATTTCGATATTCGATAAAAGAAAATAAATGTCTTCTTGCGTCCGATAGGTGTCCCATTTTCTTATATGCGACGGGAGCGACATGTAATAAATGCACCGGCATATTTCCCTCTTCTAACGGCCAGACTTAGCTTCTCTGCAGTGGCACGCCGCATCGAACCATACAGCCACAGCTATAGTGGAATCATATTGTTGCAGACAAGTTTGAGACAAGAGATAATTAACTGTCGCTTTTTTTAGATAGCCGCCCTGTCTATTCTCGTACACAATATTAGTGAGTAAGATAACTCTTCTGCAGATACCCATATATCGTTGCTTCGAAGCGTTCATCGAAAAAATAATATCCATTGTTTACAAAACAATAGGACATAATTATAGTGGAATAAAGGCAAACGCATATCTGTAAGCCCTAAATAGAGCTCTATCAGTTGTAGTGAGGCAGCAATATAACGACCAGTAATAGGTTGCAGGCAGAATGAAGACTGTGCGTGGTTTTGCAGGTTTACAAATCTTCCCAAAAAGAATGACTACGAGCTTTTAGCTAGATCTTCAAGAGATATTTCTAGCGTATGCTTGAAAATAAACTATTTGAAATTATTAAAAATACATAACATTTATGATATCATTACATAATAATAATGTAAATATAGCAGAAAGAATGAATTAATGAAATCGCTTTACAAATGTCCGACTATTAATGATTAATTTATGAAGAAAGTGTGCAAATATCTTATAATAAATAAGGGGATATATATATATATATGTATATAACATTATATATGTATATATTCCTTCATTTACTATATTCTTATATATTTATTCATTGTCGTTGAATTGAATTACATACGAATGAACGCAACAGAAAGTTTATAATCTAGCTAATTAGGCGGCAACCCTGCTTTATAATATTCGAATGCTTTTTTCTGGAGTTTCTGAATTCCCTTTGGAAAATCAAAACAAAACACTTTCCTTTTTTTTTTTTGAAATAAAGTTATAGTTATGTAGTGAAATGTATGTAGTATTTAATACCGTAACTATTCACATATCTACTGTTGTTCTACTTACTGTTACTTGTTTTATATCGGCGGTTTCTAAGGGCATCTTGTACTACTTTCACCGACGACGTCTTAATTTAACACGCTTAAATTACGTTAGCGTTGGCTCAGCCAATCAAGAGACGCAACTGTCGATGATCTAAACCTGCAATCTAGATAACATGCGTACGAATCGAGATAATATATATGTAGCGTAATATATGTCTGTAATTATCTACTATGCTCAGTGGCCATGTATTATGCCAGATCATGAGTCCGGTAATGACTTGGATAATAGGCATAGAACAAACGCAGGAACGCGTAAAATCTGAAACGCTGTCTGCATATGATAAGGTCAGGGAGATTAACGTCGTATTGTCGTATTAGTATTATTCTTTCCTATTAATTCCACGAGTTTATTTAACTAGCGTGAGCTCCGAAACCTTTATTTTCTGTAGTGTCCGGGACATACGGAAACGCGTCACGTAAGATGTCAATTTATACTTTTTTTGACTTATCTGATTTTCTCTCTGAATCTTTGTTGCACTCGATAGGCCAAATCTGAACATTTTGATCAATCATTTATGTGACTCTAAAGCTATGTTCGATCCGGTAGCCTCGTGAGCCACTTTGTGGTTCAAGTTATTTTTTGACAAGTATATCCTCTATATCCTTTTGCGATAGCTCATCAAAATCGCACGCCTGCACGTGCCTGTAGACGCCTGAAAAAACATCCCTCAGGATGTTGTTTGTTGACGCGAAGAGTATTTTGTCTCGTACCGTCGCACTGTCAGGGCACCATGTTATCAATAAAAGCCGGTCGACTTCAATTGGCGGATCGACAGAGTATGTTGGGTAATCATAGAGAATATATCTGCATTGATCCTTGAAGGTTTTCATATGCAAAAGAAAGTCCTGATATGTAGTTGTGCGTGGTCCTTTCGTCTCTATAATGATCTCTTTTTCGTCTCTAATCGTATAGATAATATACCGAAATGATTTGTTTCTTTTGACGTCTTCATACACCACCTTGGCTTCGTTTGACACAGTGAGTCCGGAAGACATATTTCCGTATTGTCAATAGAGTAACAGGAAAATTCAGTATCGATGGTACGTTCGTTTTTAGTGGATAAGGTAAGTATCGGTAAAAGTATGACCTTCACGATTTAAACTCAAAGACAGAAGAGCTTCAATCCCTTCTTCGATTTTCAGTACAGAAACTGACAAAACCTTAAAAGCGGCACGCCTCTTTTATGCTAGACACGCATCCTTTTTGCTTCAGTTGTATCGGTGTCCCTGAGTTCGTCGTTGCCCAATATTGAATCAGATCGCAGAATTTTCGCTGAGATAGGTATTTTGATCAAAGTGTCTTCACTGGAGCTCTTGAGCAGCCTTAACTGGAAGCTCTTGTTTTTAAATTGCCATAACCTTCAAATCTAAACATGAAAATCAATACATTTTTTACAATATAATCCAAAAATCACTTTTGAATATTTACAAAAAGAAAGGCGGCGCTTCGCGTATTCTTCAATGCCTAAACATGTATTATTATTATTTTTGCTTATTACATTATTGCTATATCAAATATATTTATCTATGGCTTCCCTTGCGTCGTGCGCACCTCAGATTCCCAGTTTTAATAATCAGAGGGGACTTAAGTGATATATGTTCAGATACTGAAGATTCAAAAGTTAATACCTTTACTCATAACTTTTATTATGGTCTAAGAAGGCAATAAGCTATGAATGAACTTTGCAATGCCACAATGGCGGATGAGTTTGATTTTTTTTTTATTACCAAAAAGCAAACATGCAAAAGATTACAAACGAAGGCGCGTGAGGGCAGTCTATACAATGCCAAAAAACGAACTTCGGTGTTATGAAGTCGTAGTAAGTCAACTGCATTCGGAAATAGCTGCACCGAACATCATTGCGCATAATCATAGCTTGATGTATCGGTGATGGCTGAGACACGTCACCAGGTTAAGGCTATTGAGCAATTTTGTATTAGACGCGGCCGACCTGGATATACACGCAGAGCATACAAAAATTCCTCTGACGAAGAACAGTAACCTAACAATTATGAATCCAGTGACGTTAAATATAAAAGTGTGACGAATGTAATACTAAGGAAATAATCTACTAAAAGTGAAATACAATCCGAGCTTGCGTACGGCTTGAGACGTCAGATCGTTCAAGACGTAACGAAGAACAGAAACATATCTCCTGAGAAATCAAAATGCTGTCATTGTTAAGTCGTAAGAACACGAGGCTACGTCGTGGAGTGCGCGCTCTTCGTGCCATCCCCGCATCAGTGTGTTTAACGTCTTAAAAGTCGGAAGTTGTGAGGCACTCCTGGCCGAAAGTTGGCCAAAGAAAAGGTTATATGGAAGCTATCTTAAAAGCGTTTCCTACCTCTCAACTAGTCATTTTAAATAAGCATATTTTAGGCTTACGTTAAGGCATTTTTCCAGCTAGACGATGTTTCAAACGGGTGGCTCTTGTCAGCGCGAAAAGAAGCAGTGTGTCTAGAATCGACTTCGGACCCAGACCACTACATATTTACACGCTTAGTCCCTAATTCGTCCTCTTACAATAAGCCCTCGTAACGTCACTTTAGAGGTCAGAGCTTGGAACAAACGTTCGCGGGGCCAGACCAAGGGTCGAAAGATCACGACGCCTTAGGGCAGAGAGCGTGCATCTGTCATACCTTTGACTCCAGATTTCGACAGCAGAAACTAAAGTAGTGTTGAATTCATCCAGTACCGACATGTAAAAGCTTCTCTAAATGTGCGGGTGCATCGCTTTAGAGATGAACAAATGTCGAAAGCTGTAGAACATCATTCAAAATATTTCAATAATATAAAGTAATTTAATTACTTGTTAAGAACTAACTTTAATCTCATGCTAACCTAACTATTAATAATATTATTACTTTAATACAGTATATAAGAAGTTAGCAGTACTCTAGCTTGATTCATATCAACTAACTTCAGAAGTTAGGCGCTAAGATTTGCTTCAGTGAAGTAACATTCATTTGTGGACATTCGATTTAAAATGAAACATTGCAATATTTTTATTTATTAATATAATAGATTCATATACATAACACCATCGTTAGCATTTTCGTCATTATCATCGCCGTTGTTTTATCCATTTCCATCATTAGGTATGTACAAGTGGACCAGAGCGCCCCGTCATCGCTCGTCCCATTGGCACCAGTCTGAATTCAGTTGCTTTATATCGTATCCATGGTTACGTCGCTATAGTATCGTTCTTGGTATCAATGCTATTATTATTATCATTACCAGCGTTCATTCATTGTGCTGTCTAGTCACTTCGTTCGTTCTAAGCGTGTACGTGTCCACGTGCGTTAGTGAAATAAGTGTGACGAAAATGCTTGGCCCGAGAACACAGAGTGTGCAGAATTCAAACGACTTACTTATATGTCACTTGAGAAGCATCATTATCAATAAATAAACGATATGAAAGGCCTGAATTAAACAAATGAATAACTTAGTAGTGTCACTCAGGAGGCATTGTGTAGGTGCTGAGCAGTTCTGCTCTGACGAATCGACTTTTCTCTGAACAGCGAAGAACACCCCGCACGCCTCCTGCGTTCCTTGTTATCGTCCCGTTCATGTTCGTGTACTATTATTACCTGCCATCATGACTAACATAACGTTAATTACCATCGTTGATTTCCAATCATCTTCGCAACATTTCATAGTCACAGACCTGTTTCGCTTTGTCGTCGGATCTCTCTTGATGTCTCTCTTCACGGCTTCATTTTAAACTCACTCTGTACACAGTCACACCATTAAGTGGGGCAGGCCGAATCGTCACGCGACATGAGCGCCACATATGCATATTTAATATCAACTAGGTATTCTTCATCGGTTACTTCTCCCATCTTTTGATCATCGGGCTTTGTACAAGTGAATAGTGCCAGTTGAACAGATACAATCGAAGATACAGTAGAGTATATTTTATCTAGCTTCAATCAATCCTCATATAATGTATTCTTAATAATATGTTCATCATTCTCTTAGCGTCGTCTTCCGTTTATTAGGCTCATTCATCGTTGAGTAGTTATTATCTCCCAGATAGCGACTATCGAACTGCTGCTGCTACTACTGTTATTACTGTTTATAGTAACAATAATAAGTAATATTCTGGATAACAAATTGCGTTGGAAAATGCGCCGCAATCTGTTGTTCCTTAAGTCACGCTCCTCTTTCATTGTCGCCAGAGATCCTGTAATTGCAATGAATCATAGTCATCGCCACTACCAGTATGTATGTCAAGCATGATCGTTCGATATATTGACTGCTAGAATCTCGTTAGGTGCGAATGGCTACATACATCATTTTCTATGTGTGTTTGTGTTGTTTGTAGTTTACACGCCTCGTTCTGTTACTTAGCGGACAACATGACGCGTCGGAATTTTCCTATGTTATTATGTTGTGCTTTAGCGGTTGGGTGTGGCGTTGCACGAAAAGCATATGTAGGTCATCCCCGACGGTACGGGCACGCTAGCCATTGGGTCGACAACTCGATTCTAAAGGGCTACAAGCTATTGAATCACACTGTATCTTGATAGCATATCGATGAAATCTGATTGTTCAATAGATCACGTACTTGCCAAAATTCAATGAATTTTTACAGAAGCATAAAAAAGCTCAACGGAACATGCGGATCTTCTGTTTGAGGGAACGTTAATCTAATGATTCGACAAAGACATTGTTACGTGTTAGTTTACTGGGTTCAATTCCTTTTTCTAGCTGCGTTATTGTGTGCTTTAAGTAACCTTACCTGCTTGTTATTGTTGTGACGTGTCAACTCCGTATCAGAGATACGATCAATATTGGGACAAGAGATAGTCAGTTCTATATACGTACAGCTGGCGCTTATTTATCTGTTTTGTGTAGGCTAGTATCCAGGCAATATGATACAAGGTAAAGTTGAGGTTCGTTGTCATTGAAACGTAGCCGGCACCAGGCGTTCGGCCGAACGGATGTAGTAACTAGGGGCTTGGGGGCTACTAATATTAACCAATATATATATATATATATATATATATATATATATATATATATATATATATATATAACACATTCGACTCATAGAGACATAGATTCGACAAGGTCATTTTAGCGCTCTTTAATTCCTGCAGGAGACTTAGAGATTTCTGCTATCGAGGTAGTCATTCTGACGAACTTTTCTGACTGACCAGATTAGCATGTGCTTTATATTTGACTTGTTCCGTAACAGAACTTCGAACCTGTAGAATCTATTAGTCTCTATTGTCGATTGGCAAAGAAGATGGCCATTTGCGGACATAAGATCCGTACAAGAGGGCGGACGCGACGTCAGGGGGTCCAACTCTCGCGGCGCTCAATGGAGCCGCTATCGTTGGCTGTTCAGCTGCGGTACATAATTATAGTCGTGATTTCTATTTTATATTTCGTTGCGTTTTTCCCCACAACTAATGATGCACGCGCTCGGACTAGGCACCAGATCAGTAATAACTTGAAACATCATATGACGACAAGGGAAGGAAGCTCATTACACGCGGATCTACAAGTTATCTCACATCATACCATACAGCATCACACATACAACAGGCGGATACGAGTAGTAGCATGGCCGTGATCATGTGTAGCACCTAAACACAGGTCAAAAAACTGGAGACTATGCAGGACAATATCATTCATCGTTAGGTATAAAATACGTTGTCGTTGTTACCTCTCCCTGTAACCACCCTTTGAGAGCTGAAGAGATGGGGCGACCAAATGGCGACGTTTGGCGCTCGCTTTCAGGACGGCTAATTGCTCCTTGCGCATTAATGTGCATCCTTAGTAGCACATTTCAGCCATGTCAATAAACAATAAAGTCAATGTTTAGGTCGATTGGCATGGAGAAAACAACGATGCTATCGTAATAAATAGATTCAGTAGTAGTAATCAATCAGCACCAAGTAGAACGTCATTTGACATCGTGTATATATTATAGTGTATGCAAACGGCATGTACTGCCTACTCCATTGGATTGGCCGGGTTGGGCTACCCCCTTTAAGTAGCACCTTTGTTCGATGTCAGTTATATATATATATATATATATATATATATATATATATATATATATATATATATATACGATGGTACGTTTGCTCGATGAGAGAATACAAATTGCGATCCAGTTCTGTAAGACCTCGATCAACGCCCAAGTATATATGTAGCATCATTCTGGTCATTATCATAATGATTTGATAATCTTTTTATTACGGTTATTACGGTCTCGTAGTCGTCCTGTGGTCTACTTATGCAGAGCGTGCAGTTAGGTCATGCGCTGCTTATCACTGAGGCAAGTTAAGATCAATACCTTGGAACGAAACCGTTTCTATTTCATCATTCGGGCACCCAATAGCCCAGCCTACGTCAAGCTCTAATGCCAGAAGCTTAATCTTTGGGAAACCAAATTCAACGACAAACCTATCCAAAGGTCATTTCGCTCTTTACTATTATTATATATATATATATATATATATATATATATATAAGACGTCTTCAATGTGAGCCTAAAATTCGGGATATATTCATTATTAATGATTGAGTGATGGGCGCGATACATTTAAGAATGTAACAATTACTTTATGCCATGTATTTATTATACTGGTTTGTTAAATAAATAAGAGAAAATTGGCGCGAACATTATTAGGTTTATAGTAAACTATGTTTGTTAGACTAAGCTTAAAAGGTCTTGCAAGCTTTGACTTAGTTTAGCTGCAACCTGTTGTTTTTATATTATTACTATCTATCGTTGTGACGGTGTCCTGTTGATGTTATGTACAAAATGATTATTTGGCTTTATATATATATATACAGTATATATATATATATATATACAGTATATATATACATATATAACTGGACGTAAGAGGATCTGACAGTGGAAGTCCTGCTCATCATATATCATTTCACCTATATATATATATATATATATATATATATATATATATATATATATATTCATTGTCGGTGTTTAAATTCGATGCTCGTTTTACCTAGTAGGGTAGCAATAATGATGACAATGACCTAATCCACCTAGTTACATCCACAGTTCACAATTGTTATTTATACAGTAAGAATTTGCAAAGGCATTATCATATTCGACAATATTAATTAATACCAAAATGCAGGCCAAACAACAACAGAGGCATGAAGGGTACCCTATGATTTCAGTTTGCCTCTATTGGTCCATCTTACACCCTCAGGTTAGGGCAACGCTCAGGCAAATGCTGGCAATGACGTTTCATAGGAATGAATCGAGGTTTCCGTGCCCACAAAAAACAACAAAGGCTAAGATCACCGTCATTATTACCGTTACAGCGCCATCATCCTTAATATCACCAACCATCACATTAAATCGTACGCATTTACCATTCATCTATTTTGTTGCACGCACATACATGTGAACTTTTTCTTAGGTTCCTTCGACTGCATTTTGGCTACGATAGGGGTCACCATTAATAATCGCTCTTTTCACAGTGCCACGCAGCGCGGAGTATATCTTATTACATTGTTGATAATAGTTATAGCGAAAGATCGGAATCGATCAGGATGGTGTGGTCTGTATCTGTCTTGCCTACTTAATACCTGTATACATATAATATTTATCAAATCACCAGACGATTTTCATTATCTTTGTCCTGCTCATATTTTTTTTCTATCGGTTAGTCGTCATAACCATCTCGGCTCATTCTGTATTTTTTCTCGTTGGTCATTATCGGCTATGGAGTTAACAGCTTCCCTGTTTAGCTTGAGTGCTAGCAGCGTATCTTGATTTAGTTGTAACAGTATCACATGATGTGCCCCAATGGCTACAGGGCTCATTGCAGCGTTACGCGAATTATTTTGTTGCATCCGACTTATGCTACATGACCTGTTTTCCAGCTGGCAACGACTGGGTCACGAATCACACCCATTTCTTAGCTATTAGCTCACGAGGACCTAGATCAGAACGAACATATCCTTCATCGGTTTCGATATCGAGGGCCATCAAGACCCAGAGATCAACTAAATTGACGATAGGTCGCATCACACGGCAGACGTACGTCCTCTACAATTCTTCGGGATGTACGCTGACATTTGGGATTATTGACTGTTTCACATCGCGTATCGCATGAAGTCGCATTCGAGTAGACAGTACACTTACTCGGAACCAGCTCGATCTGATCTGTTCGACTCGTCAGAGAAAACCTCGCCGGCTCAGCGTTAGAGCGCATGTGGAGTGGCAGAAAATTACACGGCCCGATGGCGACGGCGGTAGTGGTGAGGTTCAAGAACATAACGTGCAACTTTTATTCCTTTATTGTTCTTCTGGTTTAAATGTAAAATGGCCGGTATCGTTTTTTCGATGAGTCGCATGCCTTTTAGTTGAAGAGGCAGCAACAAACGAAGTGGAAAGGCGGAAGTATGGACATGGCCTTGTTACAAGTCACTTGACGTGCGGTTGCTAGGCTTGTTCAGTAATATATCGTCAAAGTACTAACACTTCTGAGTCATTGTTCTCTCGCTGTTACTATTGCAGATGGCAGTTAGTTAAGAGCAACAGCAGTAAAAAGTAGAATGGATTTACATGGTTTTCTGGAGTTTTAAGGTTCTAGACGCTGTGGGAGAGGTAGGTGGGATCGCAAAGATCGGGCCTAGAAGCGGACGGAAGATTCGAATTTCGCGCTTATGACACGACACTGCGACGGCGACGGCGGCAGCAGCAGCAGCAGCAGCAGCGGTGGAATTGGAATTAACACACGATATCTTTTTTATTTCTGTCTTCAACGGGAATGTGACGACCGCTGACGGTTTGATTCGTCCTTGACACGCGCTGACTGGCCCGGGCCTCATCCAAGGTGCCGAATAGACAAACCCGCAGAGATTCAAACAGCTTAACATGGCAAGATTGTTGTATCTCTATAGCTGTGTGGCCACAGAGATGTAAACCTGCTGGAAATTCGATGGAATGCAGCTTGCTACTCACTGGTGATTGAAGAAAAAACGTTTTCAAAACTCTATCTCTCTCTGGTTTTTTAAATTATTCATCTATGGTAAGCGTTCTTGTTCGCGGTGTCAAGAAGTTGCGTCTTTTGCGGCGATTTTCTGCTTTACTTGTTTCGGGGCATCGGATTATCGTGAAAGAAGAGGCGGTGGGTCAATGTACTAGAGACGGGGCTGGTGAGCCTGGAGGAGAGTTTGCCGTCGACGTGGCCGTCCACGAGCAGGACGCGGTCGGCGTGCTCAGCTGCAACGTTGGACTACCAGGTGGGGGCGAAGGTGTAGCCGGAGATGGAGACGTAGCCACAGGTGGACTTGTGGCAACCTCCCCTGACAGCTCACTGCCCTGTCCCTGAGCATTCTCCCTGTATGGCTTGCAGTAAGTGAATCTGAAGAACAACAGAGAACAAACGAGAAGATCGTAACGGTTGCAAATGATGAACGCTGCTTGCCTCTATTAAACACTGGGTTTCAGATTATTCGGCTCAAGTTGAAAAGGTCACAAAATCCAGACAGAAACGTAGAAACATCGTTACTAAATAGCAGACGAATATTTGCGTGTTACGATACATTTTTAAGCTTGACTCTTTTGTCCATTATTGGCGTGCCATTAATTACACTAGAAAAAACATGGGATTGAAATAACGTCTACTTTGTTATGCACACAAGATGTGACGCGATAATGTCGCATTCAATTTGGCTAGGACGGCAAATAGGTTTGACAAACGGCACACCTATGGTTCATATGCTGTGAGTAGGATCCGCTGTGCGAGAAGCGTTTGAGGCACTTGAGGCATTGGAAGGGCTTCTCGCCCGAATGCAGCCGCCGGTGCTCCGTCAGGTGGTGCTTATGCTTAAAGGCCTTCGGGCACACTTCGCATTGGTGCGGACGCAGGCCTAAAAGAAGTGCAAGGAGTGCAAAAATTCAAATGAAGGAAGGCGTGCTTGAGGTTAGCAAGTGCGATCACAAAGTCATACCCCGAAGCATGGGGAAAGGCTGTGAATTACGAGGTGCGTCATTGTGTACGTGGTGGTTATAAAAACTAACGTGAAATAATAAACGCAAAATCAAGCAAGATTTAAAGGCCGTGCTTTTTCTGTTACACATATAGGTACATATATACAAGACGTGTGATTTTTTTACTAGTGTTGCATTTTTATTTCTAAAGAAGAGTTTCTCCCGAGATTTTCCGGCGACCATTTTTTTCTGTCCTACGACTCACCAGAATGCTCGTATTTGTGGCGGGCTAATGAGCTTTGCTTGCTGAACACTTTGTCGCATTGATCACAGTTGTAAATCGTACCAGTCGCCGACTCGTCGTCCTTGGTCCGACGGCGTTTGGCATCGTCCTCATCCGTCCAAACGAGTGGCCGTTTCGAACCGAGTGCCGCGTGAAACGGGCTCCCACCTTCTCGACTCGACATTTCAGTATCGCTCGACGCCGACGCAGAGCGCACCCCGCTTACAAGGTCTGCAGGAAGCTGAGGGGAACGACCCATCAGCAGGCCTACGATGGCGTCGCGATTTAGGAACTTTGCGTAGTCCGCGGAATCTCCTTCGAGCACCTTGAGCGCGGATAGCGCCAGCAGATTTTTTGGTAATGTACTGGCTTCGAAGGACTTGAACGGCGAAGGTGATCTGCTCCCGTCCGATGAGATGGACTTGCCGCTTTTCATCGAAAGGTCCAACGGCTGGTCAGGATCTAAAACGCACGGGGTTTCAAGTTAGTTCGTTGACTGGATAACACGTATGAATTAGGCACCTTTAGGTGACATGTATTAAATAAAGTCGCCACCGTAGACTCTAAAATGGGAACCGTTACAACATAGGTTCAACATAGGCTGGACGTGTTATTAAATTCAAATACCCGATTTCGAAACTCACCGGACGTTTCCACATCCAGATGAGGGCTACTGCTGTGTCGTGGTGAAGCCGGTGTTGAGGAAGGGTGTGAGTGCGATGCTTGTGACTGGCGATCGTCATTAATAATTTCAAGAGGTTTCTCATCTGCAGCTGATTCAAGTTCTCTATTCGTGTCATCGAACCACCGTTGGATGGTCGCCTTGTTAACTTTCAGCTTATCGGCAAAACGTTCGATCTCCGTAGTCTTTGGGAATGGATCAACCTGGTGCTTTGTGTGCAAGAATTCCAACGCTTCATCCGACAAGCCGTCCGGGCATGTCTGTTCTTGTTTTAGGTCTTCTACCAATGAAATATCAGGTTCGTCTTTAATACGTGTCTCCATTAGAGTCTCGGTTTCGCTGGGAACGTTCCGATTAACGTCAGTGCCCTGTTTGCACATGAACCGCTCATGTTGAAACAACTCCATTTGATTGGACATCATCTGGGAGCACTTCGTACATTTGAGAACGGTTGCTGGTGGCTCAGGTGAACTCAGCTCGGTTTTTAGTCGCTTAGGAGATTCTTCCGAAGATTCCGGGTCTTTGATAGGGCTAGTTTCACTGGATACTCCCGGAGCTGACACTAACGCACTGGGCGACGTCTGGCCCTGATTTTGTTGCAGAAAGTGGGCCACTTCATGAAAGCCGGCAGCAGCCAGTGGAAGGTGTGGAAGTGTCGCAGTAAGGGGATTAAACTGACCGAGCATGCTGAACGGATAGCTACCAGCCACAGCCGCCATAGCGGCAGAGAGAAATGGCGGTCGAGCACTTAGCTCAAAGTTTTGGTGGCCGGTCAGAGGGTACCCAGATAACTCTTGAGCGGAACTGCCAAACTTAGGAATAATTGGGCGAAACTGTTGTGACTGGCTTGCCGACGGAGGTCCCGCATTGCGGGGAGAGCGTGTCCGCGCTGGATGTTTTAAGTCGACCTTACGTACCTGAAAGTATCCGTGAAAAAATCCATCGGTCTTTAATTTAAAGCAGGAGAACAGTCTGCGCTCCGTGTCACTTCGCCAGATCTAGCCGCTATGATTCTCAGATGCATACATCGACTTCGTTGGATAAAAGAACAGTATTCTATCTGTGCCCTTGGTTTTAGATTATTATTAAAGTCGACTCGTGGGAAAGCCTAATAAAACGGCGCATACAGCTTTTTAGCCTAGTGTCTTGATTAGGAAACAAACCTAGAACGGCTTTTAAGGTTGCCCCACGAGAGCAGGTTTACAAGCACCTCCGAGTCAAACAAATACCAACTAGCACTGGCACCAGCTTGTCAACTGACTGGCAATAAGCTGAGGACAGCGGTACGCAGGCGTCGACAGTGGAAGAGGTTTGTCAGGAAGGAACACGGAGATGGGGGGGCGGGGGGGGGGAATGTCACTGCGCGCCAGGCAGTGAGCAATCGAGTGGAGTGCGTTCACCATCCATGATTCGACGAGAGGCTTTAGTAAGCGGCGGTTGCTCACATCAAGCATCCTCTATTGGTATCTACCCCCTGAACCGGAGACCGGCCCCATTGTGACTTGTGTTAATGATGGGCCGATAATAACCCCCTTCCCTCCAGCCCCCACCCCCGTCGTGCTACACGCCCCAAAATGGAGGTACATCATTTTGCCCCCTTACCCACGGCGGACACGGCAGTAGCCCCTGCTACTATTAATATAACTTTGCTCAAGTCATTGCTGCATCCATCGGGTCAAAGTTGGGTTGGATTTTAATTTCAAGCAATCATAGACTCCGCCACGCCATACCGTGGGGGGGTAGAGATCACGTTAAACGAAACGCCTGCCAACCATCCGCCGGCCATGGAAGTCATAGTAAGGCCTGGCGGCGGAAGGCTGGTGACCTCGTCCGTAGTGTGCTACTTCGTTCTGATCCGATAAAACAGGCGTATTGCATCGTCACATTTCGCTGGCTGATTGTTGGGCATCGGAGATCGATCTCGCCCGTTGTGCCGGTGTATTAAGCAAAATACACGACGATAGTACATGCGTGTATATCATGGAACGACGCATAGCACACGCAGACCCAACGCTTCCGTGAGTGCCTTCGTGGCTACGACACACGAGCGCCTCTGTGCTAATTCCGTATGAGTTGCCTCTGACGACGAGGACGCCCCCGTATATATCACTTGCATCGCTATACGAAAGGGCACAACTTTTGAGTTGATTGAGCGAACGAATTGAGACAGCGCAATACACAATATGTAGGACGATGCCCGGCCTCATTGGTGTATCATCATCAAATGTTCAAGTTTCGAGATGAATCGATCTCCCTTTCGCCCCTTCCACTTTCATTCGAAGCTCACAGGGGGTCCGTTAACACTTCTAAATTGGCGCGACTTCAGTTTGAAGGAATTAACATGACTAAGCCCACTAGCGATACTAGGCGTTAACGCACAGTCAGGCTTATATAACGTTTGCCCGATGTGAGGACCAATGCAACCAATTTTCATTCAGTTGCAATACGTTCATACATATAATGGCATCCAATATGTATCGTCTGCACTAGGCTATAGGAGGGAGTACTTCGTCATTCGGCAATATAATCGAGAGCTATTGAAATCGGCTGGAGCGGACTCTGCTGGCGATCAACGGTCGGTTCGTGGAGGAATGGGCCATGCTTATAGGTTCACGACCCGATTCTTTGCCTTCTCGCTACACCATTATTCATTGATATCTATATAATCTATAACTTTTTCAGAAACCCAGTATCGCTATATATTGCGATGGTGGGGTGCCAGAACGTAATGGCTCACGTTACATTACGTGACATGCCCACATGTTTACATACTATCCACAGCACGTTTTGCCACCAGGGGCTATTAGTATGTTGTTGTCTTTTGGAAAGATGGGTTAGAACAAGTAGAATAGATGATCTTTATTATGCCCACCTTGAGATTAACGACGAGACACTTTTTGCTTGTCATATGTGAAGAATACGATCCAGAATGCGAAAACCGCTTGCCGCAATTTCCGCACAGAAACGGTTTCTCGCCCGAGTGAATGCGTAGGTGCTCCTTAAGGTGGTGTTTGAATTTGAATGCTTTCGGACATTCGTTGCACTTGAATCGACGGAGAGCTGAGTTCTCGTCAGCGGAGCCTCCCCTTCCAGCCAGTGTGGAGCCGAGGGTGCTGCCGGATGTATGTAGCAACTCGTGTTTCTCCAGATGGTCACGTTTGAGGAATGTGGCGTTGCACTTCCCGCACTGGAAACTGGGCTCGAGTCCGGTTAAACTTCCGAGACCGGTCAGCCCCGAAAGTCCACACGGCGTCTGCGCGAGAAGGTTAGCGTTCGACGTAATGGTTTTTCCGTTGACGAGGCTGTCAAGAGTCTGATGGGCAAACTTGATATGGTCACGCAGGCTCGCCACTGAGTTGCCCCCACTGAATGACAGATCGCAGTAACTGCAGCGTAGAAGAAGATCGCCGAGCATGGCGCCACTCGAACAAGCCTTCTGGCTGCTCTGGAGAGCTGAAATCGCAATACGAAAAAAAATGGTTAGCAGTCGAAGTTCATAATGAACCAAGGTTGCATAACATTTTTTTTTTTTTTTTTTTTTTATATTAAATATAGAAGTATAAGCAGTTAAAAACAATTACTTAGACAAGATTTCTATGGATTAGAGGGCAAAAAGGAAATGCAATTGGCCAAATAGTAAGCATAATCTTCTAAAAATAAAATCGTCTCAGCCTGCCGTACCAACGTAGCGAATGCTATCTTTACAGCAACAGCGCAACATTCGATCGGGAGACTGCCTAACGATTGATTGGAATCATATACACTAGGCAAGGCAATGGCCGATCCTATTCGCTTACGCTAAAAGTATTCGAAGTAGGCCAGCCAGTTCCTGCTTGGCCTTTCTATAAAATATGCAAAAGCTAGGAACACAATCGACAAGCAGCGGTGCAGTTTGCTAGCGCCACGAATCTTTTTCATATTCTTATTTTTCCGTAACACTTTTTTTTTGTCCTGGTTTACAGGGTTGCGCTCGGACGTAGTTAAACTCCGTTCTCTGTCTGAACTAGCAAGAAGACGCGGGTAAGGTCCGTTCGCTGGCCCAGCAGAGTGACAAAAAGTTTGACGAGGCAGCTCCACAATACAATGCATATCGCACATATACTTTAACCGGACTCAGAAGGGATATATAGACTTTAAGCACCGTTGATGGCTAGTGCTTTTCATCTTCTCACGGCAGAAACCAGCTAAATGCTTATTGCGGAGAGCAGTCAGACCACTCACTCCCCGCAATAAACATCCCGCACACAAGACCTGGTTCTTGACCGGTTCCCTCACTCTGTCCTGCTCCGTTGTTACGACAACATTAGAAACTCGACACGACGTCGGTTTCTGGTCTCTGTTAACCCAACAAAGGCCGTCCGTTCAGGTTCTTCCGGATCTTAGCAAAATGTGATTCGATCAAATCTGATTGGCCGAACGAACGCCGCCGTACACCGTTCGTCGTTACGCGTCGCACGAAGAAGGTGGAAAAACAGTTCAAACGAAATGCGTATACGACACAAATTAACATGACGACAATAACGGCGACGACAAACACGCACACTACTTGACAATAAGGGATAATGAAGGACAACAATACAATACAAGACAAATAGATCCAAACAGACCCGCTTTTGAAACCCAAACCGATTCTATCGATCATCTCTTCATTGCGTTTAATTCAGAATATAGCCAGAGAATCAAGCAGGAGAAGGTCTTCATGGACCCTAATAACTGAGCAGCCAAAAAACTACTGAGATGAGATTAACATAGCCGCAGAATTTCTCATAGAGAAAAGCCGCAAAAGGACCAGGTCTACCGTACTACCGTACAGCAACGTTCGTTAAGGATAGGATCGATACGCGCATCGGTGTCCTGATCAAGTCGATACGCGCTCTCATGCGTTTGAGCCCGTTTTAGAAGTTAGAGAACAACGCACCAATAAAAGGACAAAGGGCTGCTACGTAAATCACCATTTTGATAAAGTTTGCAAAGGTAGCATAAACGATTCCAGTCAGTTTGATTTCGCTCGTGCGGATCTAAATCCCTGTGACGCCGTCTACACAATAAATGGATTGCCACACTGCAAATAGCTAGACAATTGATGATATCGTTATTTCTGCTGGCACCGCCTGTGATTGTCTCCGAAATTCTGCTATAGTTGCTGAAGGTCACCGGCTTTTCTTTACGGACGACTCCGACATGTCTCTCACTCACGCTCGAACGCACATTTACACAAATGTAATGACTATGACAACACAATAACCCTCACGTGTTGTTGGCATCTACATATCACTAACGAATTGTATAGTAGAATATATCTATCATACAGGATTGGAGGCACTGTCAAGAGGCACGACGCCTTTTAAAAGCTTTCTTGTTCCCTGACTAGCCAAACTTGGCATCCGACTTTCCTGAGGTGCCGTTGATACTGGAAGCCGTTTAGATGTATACTGGCTTCTTATGCAGCACGGCATGAACGGTGGGTGTTACAGCGGGCAAGTAACTGTCTGTGCCTTCCCTGTACGAGAACGCTCTCACCACATAGTGGCGCAGTGACATGGGCTTTTTGTTCGGCGTCATTTCGTTTGTACTCCGGAAGCATTGTCGTCGTCGGCGCCGCCACAATCGCTCGCTAAATTGATCGCTACGATTTCCCTATGAACAAGTACATGAATCAAAACAACACAGGGCGGTGGGACGGCGGCACCCGGTGTACCTCATCAGTGGTTCAATGTGATACCGCTCACTTCAGGTCGCTCATCAGTCACAGGTCACATATGGTTATTTGTGGCGAGCCGTTCGCAGATAGGGGTGTCTGACGCTGGGCTGGGCGCGATCTCTTGAACGAGTTCTGGACTCTAGCATCACGGGGGGCAGATTTGGAGCACAAATGCAATGTAGCTCTCTTATATGGCTCGGCAATGAGTCGTCGACGAAATTCGGTACTGATCTTAACGAGGTGAAGAATTCGCTGAGAGCAACAGATAGATAAGTTCAGAGAGCAACTGTCAATGGAGGAAGAGTTATCAATAGGAAGGAGACTCAGATAAGGTCAACGCCATAAGCAGAATGTACAAGCACGCAAAATAGCAAACACACACTTTTACTTCTTAGATCGGAGCCGACATCGAAAAATCTACATGCTGAACTAAACGATGGACTTGCCAGTTAGTCTAGTTGAATTCGGCTCAACCTTGACCATAATATAGTTAACATGTGCAATAGGACAGTTGAGAGGACAATAGCGCGTTACCTTCTCTCTAATCTCGTTGTTGCTAGGTACTAAGGTGTGCCCAATAATCCCCGTAGGGTGCGAAGAGAGCCGACCTCAAGGTAATTAGACCTGTGTTAGGCGGACCACCGGGATAGTTCCGATCCGAAACAATTCGATTTCAAGATAGACTTTGCGGTGGTGATATTAGCCTCATTCGCGAGCCAGACGAATTGAGTACCACACACAGACATAATTGATAATGTCATTGCGCTTCCGTGAATACAGAAAGGTCGTAAGGGACGCTTTGTAAGCGCTAACAGTTTCGACCTCGAATTGGAGATGCAGTAGGGGTTATCCGGATACCAAATAGGTTACGAATCGACTTAGATCTATTGCATGATAACACACGCTACTTCATCGCACTGCGACCTGTACTGGGAAACTTCACGAGAACGACGACCTCAGAGTCATAACAAGCACCGCAGTTCATCACCGCAACGAATGAAGATTTCAAGCTCAATTTCCTCACTGCTTACAAAGCCCACGATTTGCAAACGATACGATCATCATCATCATCAGATAAGTGATAATGTGTTTATCAGAACACTTTAATTAATCTATATTCGTATCAAATAGAGCGATTCTGAAAGCTAAAATCTCATGTTTATTCATTACAAATGCTCATTAAGTTACTGTATACTTGTTTTTTCCCTAAACTACTAACAACAATTGAAAAATTACTAATATCTATCATGTAGGCACGTTTGCAGCGTACATATATGCACATACATTTTAGACATTTAGATTTTTTTCTATCGATCTCTTGGCAAGAATCGATAAAAGGTTGACATTACTCTTATCTGGTTACTTATAAATTATAACATCTGCCACCAGCCCTCTTACGCCCAATTCTAACAGCTATTCATCCAGACATAAAAAAAAAAAACAGAAAAAGCTTTCTGCTGTCGTTAGGGGCTTTACTGTTGCACTTTTATATCGTGTTTATCGCATGCCTTGCGATTGTGGGCCGAGTGTGTTATATTTCTTCGGCTAAATTCAAACTTTTAGCCGGAAATCCGACCCAGCATCGCTAAGGTGGGACCCACGCCTCCTAGTGACTGAGCGCGGGGGGGGGAGGGGAGGGGGAAGGGAGCAGGGGTTGGCCTTAGGTCGAGGCTGCGAGATATGGTCCGAACGACGCAATCCGTACGAAAGATTGCTCAGACAACGGCAACAAGCTGAAAGAAAGACAGAAAAGGCCTACACAGGACGGCAAAGATTGTGTTGCCAACCATGGCGTAACCATAGGTGTTCGGCCTCGGTCCGCATCGGCCAAACAGACAATGGGCTAGAGTTTCTAAAAGCTCCTTTCACTGCGTCTTATTGATGTTGTTCTTCCCGCCTGAGCATTCGTAGGTTGATGAAAAACTGCCTATCTTAGTAAAAATACGTTGGAACTACTGTGACGACAACTAATTGCTAATTGGCTATGTTTATTTCCGATTACAATATAGCTCATGAGAATTACGTTTCGTATGGAACGAAGAGCCAGACCAATATCTTCCGAAAAAAAGGAGAGAAGGAACAATTCAGATTCACTCTCGTTAGCGACGGTGCAATCAATAGAACGGATTCGGTCGTTTCTGAATAAACGAAAGGTCCGCCGGTCATGTGACGGCCTATGACGATAACACCTTGAATATCCTGAGATCTAAGTAATCTAGGCTATAGGTGCTCGTGCCATTTTCAGCAGGTGAACCTTGTCACCTTGTGGACGTCCGAGCTGCTACCGTGGAGTTCGCGAACCAGCCAAAAGTAAGAGCAATCTCTCAAAAGGGTCGAGGAGCACAATCTGACAAAGCTTCAGACAATAATCCGGCTTTCGCATCTGATTTCCATGTGTTTTCCGCGTATTTTAATGACGACTTGCGGAGTTCATTGTTCGCAATGGCCGGACAGCTGGTACTGCCCGGCCCGTAAGTAAAACAAAATCTAACTCCTGTTCTTCTTCCTGTAAAACATGTTTTTCTTTGAGGCATTGAAGTGTTGCGGGTAGTCGGCAAAGGTTTTCTTTGATCCGGCAACATGAAATTCTCGACCCGCGCATCGATTAGGCACAAGTACTCTCCTTGTCCATCTATGCGTGCGGTTTTAATCGCCATATGTGTAAATTGCGAAGCTAGCATTGCACCGACCGGCATCACCAGCGACCAAATGTGCACATTTTACATATCGATACGAGGATGCCAGTAGACGA